ATTTGCCCACTGTTAACTCTGGCTGCCGTGAACAGTAAGTATAGTTAAGTCCATATGGGAAACTCCAACTTCTGAGTTATCAAATATAGTAGTGTCCTCATCAGGTCTATTAGTAAGTATTGAGATGTAATCAAACAAATTTCATAAAATATCCACCCACTCACCCAAAATCTGAATGGGTGGGCACCTCCACCACATATGGAAGTGTTACGGTAAAATCTGGGTGCAGGGTTACTCTGCCACCCAGCTCGTCGGACTAAGTCCGCGGGTCCCTGCGGAAGAAAATGAGCTCAGCCGGAGACAGGAGCAAGTTCCAGGAGATCTGAGTTTATTGCGCAACAGGTTCAAGGCGAGATTGAACAGCGAGAAAGGGGTGACATGAACTTTTGAAATTTCCCTCCATGTCCCAGAATACAGTGCAAAATACATCCCAGTTACATCATGAATACATTAAGAAGAGGTTGGGTTACACAGATTACATCACGAATACATTAGGAAGAGGTTGGGTTACACCGGATTAACATATGGAGGAGGGAGGGGGGAATATGCAGAGCTGGAGATATGCGCAGATAAGCACATCCTGAGAAGACAATGGTCCGTGTATGCATAGTCTGTCACCTGGCATCGCCCGGAGGAAGGGCTTGGCAGAGCGATTTGACAGGATTAGGGTCTTGACACCTTGCTTGAGGGATTATGGAGGACAGGGGAGGTGTCATGGAGTCCTAGAGAAATTGAGCAAATTGGCAAGTTGATTTTCTATGAATTTTATAGATTTTAGTCCCTTTTGACATTGGCAATTGGAAATAAATGGATATATTGTAGCGAAGAAGGTGAAGAAGAAGACATGCCCCCCCTTCCGTATCAGTAGCATGTACCCATACCCCACCCCACCCTCCAGAAATATAGGGCTCGCTTAACAACAACAAAAGAATCATCCAGAGCTCTTCAATGCTGAACAGGCAGTATTCTGGGCAGCCTCACTCCTTGAAAAGCCCGTTGACCTAGAGAAAGAGGTATTGAAAAACATATTATATTTATTAGGGCACTCCAAGCCCCAGGAAAGAAACACTGCCCAACCCTCCTATATATACATCTAGGTAACTGAGTGTGTGAACCAGTCGTCTGTCATGGGAAGTGGGGAATTCCCAACTTAGTTCTGAAGAAAAAGGGTTATATCGATGTGGCCCCAGTATCTGTAGTAATGGAGGTAGTTGAAAGGTTTGAGGAATGTGGAGTGGAATGACTTATCCCCCCCTCCCCAAGTTGCTGTGCTGTAGCAGAAAGTAGTGTCAAAACATTATTCCTGTTGTATGCTTCCCAGGGAAAGTGCCAGAACTACTGTGTCAATGTGATATGTAAAGAAGCAGCGTGGGAAGGTTTTGTTTTGTTTTGTTTTGTTTTGTTTTGTTTTGTTTTGTTGATGTTTTGGTGAAGCAATGATGTATCCTCCAAATTATTACAAATTGGTCTTGGGCTGAATTTCTGCAACCTAGCAGCACACTGTCAATGTCTCTGATGCAGAGAGCTCTCTGAATAGGCATTGTTTGTGTTCCTCTTTAAACAGCTTGGAGACAAATATTCTGAAACAAATAGCCTTTTAATTTAATTGGCTTCCAACTTGCAACCAAGAATAGAAAACTCAGTATGTGTCAGAGTTACTGTGAAAATTGTTGCGGTCAGAAGCTCAGCTGGTAGATCTCAGATCAGTCCACATTTCTTTCATGAAGCAATTGTCTGTCTGTCTGTGTATACACACACACACACACACAGAGAGAGAGAGAGAGAGAGAGAGAGAGAGAGAGAGAGACAGAGAGAGAGACAGAGATACAGAGAGACAGAGACAGACAGACAGAAAGACATTCTCATTGTATTGCATTTTCCATCATACCCCCCGGAAGCAAGATAATTCTGCTTTAGAGTTCCAAGTGGCATTGCCGCATGATTTGTCACTAGTTGGAACATGCAATAGCATCCATTTTAAAAGAAGCTGCCAAAACGAAAAACTACATATTGTAATATTGATACTCTTGTACAGTGCCAACATGAAGTCAAATTAAGTCCAAAGCGATGCGGGGCCAAAGAAAGCAAAGGTGTCTTCCATCTCTTATGTGGAAGAGGGAAACAAAATTTGGGGGCAGGGGAATAATAGTGTCTCCCATTTCCAAATATACCAATCTAGCTCGACATTAAGATAGGTAGGAGTTATAGTCTGATGCTATGCACACTTGTGCTAGTGAATAAGCATTTCGGATCAGGTGCACTTCTGTGCCAGGATAATATCACATAGTGTATCATAGCAGAGTATATTACTCTTGCTACTCTAGAAATGGCTGATCTTGCTAGCAAACATTGTGACAAGCCATGCATATATGCGTCGGGGTAGGGTGCCTGGTGGATTGAGGATTAGTCACCTACACAATGGCCTGAAAGCACCACAGAGCCCTGCATAACCTTTTGCTAATGGTATTATAATTGACATGCAGCCTAGTAGAATGATCCCATTTACTTAACAAGGAGTGTTAAAAGGTGATGCTGTAGTTACCGCAGTGCACACCACTTTGCTTCCCACCTCCAAGATGTGCATTATCTCTTTATAGAATGGGATGCCCATTAAGTCAACCTTTTTCTCTGCAGTCAAAACAAAATGGAATTTGAAAATGGAATAGCAACAAGCTCCACTTACACCATGTATATTTAAAGGCAGCTGCATATGCCAGCTAAAAAGGTTCAACAATTTTTGATAACTGGCATAAAGCACCATTATGTGTCTCCTTTCACACATCTGTTAAAGAGAAATAGCACACACCAGTTCATTCAGAATAAAAAGAATCCCCTGTACAGTGGTACCTCGGTTTACAAACTTAATCCATTCTGGAAGTCCGTTCTTAAATCGAAACCATTCTTAAACTGAGGCGTGCTTTCCTTAATGAGGCCTTCCACTGCTGGTGCCCTCCCATAGTTCAGCTTCCATTCTTAGACTGAGGTAAAGTTTGCAAACCAGGACACTACTTCTGGTTTTGCAGAGCTCATAAACCGAATAGACTTCAGTTAGCTTCAGTTCCATGCAGAGACAACATTTTCTGTAGTTGCCTTAGCAGTGCCCTCTGGAGCTGTCCATGGTCATGTTCCTATCTGTACTGCCTTTGACTGTTCTTCCTGTGAACACAAACTCCCACAGAACTCTAGTAGCAGGATCTGGGCATTGGGATCTCTGGCGCTTCAGTTGCACTGCTGGGACACCTTGCGAACACAGGGAATGGATTGCTCTTCTAGAGCAGCACCTCGAGCTCTAGCTTTTTTTTTTTTTAAATGATATTTATTGGAAAAAAAATTTTTAAATTACACAAAAAAAGACAAGACAGAAAAATAAATAAAAAAATAAAACCATCATTCTCAAATTCTCCCCTTTCAATACCTTCTTTCTTTGACCTCCTCCTCCTCCCTTTTCTTGTATCCTGATTAATAATAATCGCAGCAAATCCTTTCCATAATTCATAGTATTCTGTCATTACATTACCTTAATCTATTTTCATCTTATCTTATAGAAAACCTTAAAGTTTAAAACTTAAATCTTATTTTTATCAACTTCTCCTAACCATAACATTCTTGCCAAATTCTTTAGACATTTTTACAAGAGCCAAGTAATTTCATTTCAACATTTTTCTAGCATTCATCAATTTTATAGAACAATCCTAATGATAATAAAAAAAAGAAATAAACAATCCAATCTTCATCCAGCGTCCCTTCCTCCTGGTCCCGGGTTTTGTCAGTCCTTTTTATCCTATTAATCTAGCACATTAACCTGGTAATCTTATATCCGAGGCCCTCAAGTCTCTTCCATGTCCCTTCCGCAGCTCTTCTTCATATTTTCCTTTCATTCGTGGGTGAGCTCTAGCTTTTAATTAGTCAATCAATTGGTTGATTTGGAGCTATTTTTCATGTGGAACTATGCCTAATTAATTGTAAATCAATGGAGAACTCCCAATTGTATCTTTCCAAACCCATGAGCAGGACGCGGGTGGCGCTGTGGTCTAAACCACTAGCCTAGGGCTTGCCGATCAGAAGGTCAGCGGTTCGAATCCCCGCGACGGGGTGAGCTCCTGTTGTTCGGTCCCTGCTCCTGCCAACCTAGCAGTTCAAAAGCACGTCAAGTGCAAGTAGATAAATAGGTACCACTCCAGCAGGAAGGTAAACGGTGTTTCCGTGTGCTGCTCTGGTTTCGCCCGAAGCGGCTTAGTCATGCTGGCCACATGACCTGGAAGCTGTCTGCGGACAAAACGCTGGCTCCCCAGCCTATAGAGTGAGATGAGCCAGTGGCGTAGCGTGGATTGTCAGCACCTGGGGCAAGGCAAGTAATTTGCGCCCCCTAACCCATGGATTTGCGCCCCCTAACCCGTGGATTTGCGCCCCCTAACCCTAACCTCCAGATGTTGCGCCCGGTGCGGCCGGCCCCCCCTGCACCCCCCACGCTACGCCACTGAGATGAGCACTGCAACCCCAGAGTCGTCCGTGACTGGACCTAACGGTCAGGGGTCCATTTACCCTTTACCTTTTAAACCCATGAGCAGGCAAAAGCTTGCCCACTCTCACCAATGATCCAAACTCCATGAGGCTATTGCTATGGTGGTGATATTTCTCCCTCTCAGAACAGGGGTGGGTGGGGGGCTTGCAAATCACATCAAATGCAGCAGAAAAGGTAAACATTATGGACCCTTTCTGTGTTTAAAAATCAAATTTCAAAGGCACCATGCACAACTGCCCCCCTCCCCTCAGAGGTTGTGGGATTTCATCTCCCATTAGCTTCAGCATAGAATAATACTTGGGTCTTCAACTGTTTTTGGACTACAATCCCCATCATCCCTGACCACTGGTCCTTCTAGCTAGAGATGGCGGGAGTTGTAGTCCAAAAACAGCTGGAGACCCAAGTTTGGGAAACCCTGGAATAAGAGAATTGTAGAGTTGGAAGAAACCACAAGTCCAACCCCTGCAATGCAGGAATCTTTTGCCCAGTGTGAGGCTCAAACCCATGACCTGAGATTTAAGAGTCTCATGATCTACCAACTGAACTACCCCACCCATTGGTCAGAGATGATGGGAGCTATAGTTCAGAAATCTCTGGAGGACCACAGGTCAACCACCACTGGATTAGAGCATCAGAGTAGCATCACAGTAGGAGTGGGTAGAGCTACATTCAAAACCCTACTCACAGGGCTCCTTGGGCCAGGCAGGTAATTTGGGTCAGGTGTTCTCTCTCTTAACCTCCATCACAGGGTTGTTGTGATGATAAAATAGGGGGGTAGTAAATGTAAGCTAAGGAATCTGTCACCCTCCGGATGTTGCTGGATTTCAGCTACCACCGTCCTTGACCATTGGCCATGCTGGCCAGGCCTGATGGGAGTGGGAGACCCACAAGATCTAGAAGGCACCACATTGGAGAAAGCTGCTTTCTGGCACAATAATGTTATGCCTTGGTACTGATGTCCCCCCCACGGTGTGTGGATTGGATATATGAAAGCTTACGCTTGTGTTTGAAATTCTGACTTTAATTATAGTACAATGTGGCTGTGATACGGGAAAGAGCTGCATCTATTTAACGATGCCCTAATATTTTCCAACTTTGTGAAGGCTGCCTGCTGAAATTAGGAACAGAATGCTGTGCTTACAGGCCGGATACACTGTACATTTGAATTTTTGCAGCTTCCCATTTCAGGCAGATTCAATATAGCAGGGGGGAAAGTTTGCCCATCATGGCATGCACATTTTCTGTGACATAAAGTGCAATCAAGAGCAATGAAGCACTGTATGCTAGGATTGTTTCCCATTTTATTTTATTTTATTTTATTTTATTATTATTTACATGTGGTTTGTTTGCTCTTTCCCATTCTTCTCTACATCCTTTCGCCTACATGGATCTATTCTTTCACTGTTTGCTGAAATGAAGACCTCCCTTGTCATTTTTCCTGAAGAAGAAGAAGAGTTTGGATTTGATATCCCGTGTTTCACTCCCTTTAAGGAGTCTCAAAGCGGCTAACATTCTCCTTTCCCTTCCTCCCCCACAACAAATCTCCCCTCATTACATTCTTTGGCTCGTTGGTTCAGAAGAACGAAGATGAAGCAGCTTCAGGTGGTACAATTCCTTCGGTGAGCCCAAAACTCTTTGTGGTTTGACTCAGCAAGACATAGTCCCGATGAACCGTGTCGGAGCCAGCATAGATAAAGCCCTTCATATTTCATGCAAGGTCCCCTATAGTACCTCACTAATAGACAACCTTATTATTGTCTTTCACCATGGGCAGAATCCATCAAAACTTAGTCACAATGACTAATAGCTCAGCTGTTCTACAGTTCAAGCCAGGACATGGCCAGAGCAGTTAAATATCCCTGGAAAGGACTGGAATCCAGGTGCTTCAGTGAGTGACTAGGGGATGAACAGCCTGTGTCAGCATGGTGGGGATAACAGAGAACAAAGATTTCTCCCCTTGTGATTGAGTAATATTAACCCTCGGTGGGAGTTTGTCTAAACCTGTGAAGGTTAAAGAGCTATAGAGGGATAGGAACATGCATGCAAGCCCTCTACCATGTCTCCACGTGTTGTGGCTACTCTCAGACCTTCGCACATTGAACACAAATACTTGTTTGAATATACAGTGGTACCTCTGGTTATGAACTTAATTTGTTCCAGAGGTCCCTTCTTAACCTGAAACCGTTCTTATCCTGAGGCGAGCTTTTGCTAATGGGGCTTCCCGCTGCACGTTCGCCTCGACCACACAATTTCTGTTCACATCCTGGGGCAAAGTTCACAACCGGGAGCAGCTACTTCCAGGTTAGCGGAGCTCGTAACCAGAAGCATTCGTAACCAGAGGTACCACTGTACTTTGAATCCCCTGAGGGATTGGGGACCTTGCCTTATCAAGCTTCCCAAAAGGACAGGGGTGTCTATGTGCCAAAAGCACATAGGAGTCCAAGACAGTTTAGTCCTGCTGGCCACATGACCCGGAAAACTGTCTGTGGACAAATGCCGGCTCCCTCAGCCTGAAAACGAGATGAGCACCGCAACCCCATAGTTGCCTTTGACTGGACTTAAACATCCAGGGGTCCTTTACCTTTACCTTTACATAGAAGTCCTCTTCAAACTTTTGTGCCCACTGTGCAAAGGTCTGAGGGGAGCCAGGATGCAGCAGGATATTGCTGGTAAGGCCAGCACATGTGCCTCTGCCTCTCTACACACTTCTAATCCCTGCAAGTTCATGCAAATGCACAAAGAGGACAAGATACTTTATTAACATCAATTTATGTGCTCCTATTACACATGAAACCAACTTTAATGACACCCATCTCTATTCTGCCTTGCTCAGACCACACCTGCAATACTGTGTCCAGTTGTGATGGCCTGGGATTCAGACTTGGATGCTGAACCTGAGGGATCCCAGCCTGCACAGGATTCCCCGCCGGGGCTGGGGCATGAGCCTGAAGGGTCCTCACCTGTGCTGGGTCCTCAGGTGCAGGCATCAGCTGAGTCTGCTCTGGCTCTTGAGGTGATGGAGGACCCATTGCTTGCAGGTGCTCCACTCTCAGCCCTGTCAGAGGAAGCTGAGGTTCAGCCTCTCCTGAGCTACAGAGGCTCAGGCCAGAGAGGCGGAGGGAACTAAGTTCCCGCAGGAGGAGTGCTCGCCTCCAGGCCAGGAGAAGCAAGTCACCAGAGGATCGGAGCTGCCCTATGCCTCGGGGCAGATAAAAGCCAGCCAGCCCCAGTCCCAAGTTGTGGGAGCAACATTGTTGGTTGCTAGTTCCTGCCTGAACCCCGTCCTGCTTTTCTGTCAGAGTTCCTGACTTCACCCGACTCCCTGCCCTGCACCCAGCTTCAGCTACTATGGACTGCCTCCACGTTGCACCTTTGACCACGGACTGGACTTGGACCTCGCCTCTCGAGCAACCCACGGGACCAGCACACCAGTTCTGGGTGCCACAGTTTAAGAAGGATATTGACAAGCTGGAATGTGTGCAGAGGACGGCAACCAAGATGATAGAGGGTCTGGAAACAAAGCCTTATGGGGAACGGTTGGAGGAGCTGGGTATGTTTAGCCTAGAAAAGAGGAGATATAATAGCCACCGTCAAATATCTCAAGGACTGTTACTGTCAAGAGTCCAGCCCTCGGCTTGATAACACAGTGAGCGCAGTTAATTAAAAAGGATGATTATTGTCGAAACAAACAGATCACTCCGGACGGCATTAACACAGCCTCCGCCATCATGAATCAAGATGACCCTTCTAAGGGTCCCTTCCGTTTTCTAAAACAGAAAGTGAACTTATGAAGCTTACGTCTTTTTTTGCTTCCTGTCTAGCAAGCCCCCCATACACCGGCTCCAGGGAGAGATTGGATCAGCTCCACCCTCTGCAGAGGCAGGCTCGCCCTCCACCATTCTCTTATCAACTGGCATTCCTAAGGGCGGGGGAGCTGGCACTAGGGTATGATCATCTTGTCTGGCAGTTAACCCTCTCTCTTCCTGTCTACTTCCTTCACTGGGAGCTGGCTGGGCTGGCTCATCTGTGACAGTTACGTGGAAGAGGGAACAAGTTCTCTTGCTCTGGAGGGTTGAACTCAAACCAATGGCTTCAAGTTACAAGAAAAGAGATTCCAACTAAATATCAGGAAGAACTTTCTGACAGTATGAGCTGTTGGATAGCGGAACAGGCTCTCTCAGGAGTTTGTGGACTGTCCTTCCTTGGAGGTTTTTAAGCAGAGGCTGGATGACCATATGCCATGGATGCTTCAGTTGAGATTCCTGCATTGCAGTGGGTTGGACTAGAGTCCCTTCCAGCGCTACAATTCTATTGCACGTGTTCTTGAAAGGCCATTGGCTGTCTCATAGGTAGTGCTCTGTGACCTGTCATCCTACTGTTTATGCCCATCTATTCTATTGTCATGGAAATATTTGGTGGTTCATAGTTCTTGGAACTTTAAATTGATGTGATGGCTCTGAGTGGCTCCCACTGTCCTTATGCAGGGGAGTTTTGCCCATAGAGGCAAGTGGCACGGGGCGGCAGGGTGCCAAGTTCTGGAGGGGGCCAGGGACGAGGCGGAGGCTGGACGTGGCGCCTCCTGGCGTCAGCTCGCTGCCCTTGCCCACCTCTGCCATGCCGCACCAAAGCAGCACCATGCCCGGACCCTCTGCCTGTCATGGCAACCCCGGCACAGGCACCAGGGAAGAGGTGGAGGCTGGGCACAGTGCGTCCTGGCATCAGCTCGCCACACTCGCCCACCCCGCTGAAGCAGCCCCTCGCCTGGAACCTCCGCCTCTTCCCCGCTGGAGGAGCCACCCTTCAGCCGCTGCCCACTTCCTCCAGCCCCAAAAAGCTGCCAGCAGCATCGTAAAAAGGTTGGCAACTCTGGGAAACGGGGGCGGGGCACTAGAGGGAACTTTGCGCCATGGCGCAGGATATACTTAAGACGGCCCTGTCCCTATGATCTCCTTATTCCTGATGTTTACTCCTGCCTCTCATGCTGCTGCCAGATCCCGAATGGAACCTCCCGTCTGTGAACAGGAAAGACCAGCAGAGTCTCTAGGACTTAGAGAGTTCTTATGAAACCATGCCCTCTAACAAGGCACACATCTCTATCTCTTTCAACCAGGGTCTCAGCCACCAGCTCACTTTTATGTCTGGAGCTAATCAGAAGACGGTTGCATTCTCCATTATACTCCATAAGCATTTATTTCAACCAATACGCCGAGATATAAATTCCCTGGATTAATTTTTAAAGCAGTGTTTTAATCTCCTTTGAAAAATACATGCATGCATTATTTAGCATGCTGCAATGGGAAGGGTTTGTCAGGTGCAAAGCGCCATAGATTATCATAGAACGGCTCTTCCGCGTGCACTTACAAGCCCCTCTTTTGAATCAGCATTTCTTTACAACTCAGATGCAACATCAGACTCAACAACATTGTTTCATGCGGTAAACTGAACTCAAAAGGCGATTGTGGCATTGCTCTCCGTCTTATTATTTTATTTTATTTTATTTTATAGGCTTGGCATTTAAAAATTGTTTGTAACGGGGGACCTGCTGCTTCGAGGCAAAAAATGCCAGCAAGTAATTTCACTGGCTAAAGAGCCACTGACAGAAGAGGAAATTATTTTGCTATTGTTATTTTAGAAAGAAAGCAGCTCATCTTTAGAGGGGGATATTTTATTAAATAGTGATGGGAGTAAATAAGAAGAGATTATATAGCAGGGATGAGGAACCTGTGGCCTTCCAGTAGTTGTTGCTGGGCAAGGTTATACATAGCTTCCAACATCATTTACCATTGGCCATGCTGGCTGGCTCTGATCAGGGCCCAATAATATACCCTGCTCCAGAGGGCAGAACCTGAACCAATGGCTTCAAGTTACACATCAGGAAGAACTTTCTGATGGTGAGAAAGCCACTTCCAAGCTTGGGAGGAGGTGGGGTTGCGGGCCCACCCCCTCCCACCCCCGCGGGGGCTGGCCTTTAGCCCCCGCGAGATCGAGGGAATCCCCGGGCGTGCCTGCGACCCTGCCTGCCAATCAGCGGGCGGGGGAGGCGTGGCCTAGCCCATTTAAGGCCAGGTACGCCCGGGGACCGCCCTCTTTGACCCGTTCCAGCTGCCCGGTTTTCCCATCCCACCCACCCTTTAGGCTTAGCTAGCTCTGGCCTTGCTATGGACTCCAGTTGGTCACCGCAAGGGACCTGGTAGGAATTTTTCCAACTTGGCGCACTTCCAGCCATTTGGTTTTTTCACCTACCTCGTAGCAAACATCACAACTTCCTCGGTATTGGCGGTTAGGCATTGGCAGGGGTAATTGTTATGCAAATGAAGGGGGGAAGGAAATGCCATCACCTTCCCCCAATGAAAAAAGGGTAGTCCGGTAAAGGACTCCGGGGGGCGTTGCCCTGTCCGAAGCCTAGGGAGGTGAGGGCCTCCAGCACGCCCCCGAGCGGTGACACCCGTGGGTTCCTAGTTGGCGTACTTCAACAGGACTCCCACGGCTGGTGAATAACCCTTCCCGGTCTCCATGCTGGGTAGTCGATAGGAGCCAATGCCTAAGGCCAATACCTTCCAATTCCTGTAATCAATAAAGTTGTGGCCTTTTACGCCCATTAACCTTAAATAATGTGTCCGGTGTTTTCATTTCACATGGGGGAGGGGACTTGCCCCACAACTACTGAGCCGTGGAATGGACTCCCCTGGAAAATGGCAGCCTGTCATGGATGCTTTGGTTGAGATTCCTGCATAGTAGGGGGCTGAACTATACGATCCTTGTGTTTTACCTAGATCTTTTAATTTTAATTTTTGTCACTGTAGTTTTGTTTGCTGACCTTAGGACAAAAGAGTTAATTTGTAGTTTATTGGACCTGTCTAAATGATTTTCCTTTTTGTGGGTGCATTTTGCTGTCTTTCTGTCTTTATTTTTATTAATTCCCCCCCTGCCCTGGGATTGAAAATATTCAATGAAGAACAAGCTATATCTACGGTACACAAACAAACAAATATGACTGCCTGCATTTGTTCCTTGAAGTTTCATACTGCAGTTCATGATTAATGACAGTGAATGGGACACAAGGTTTTGTGTGGACTATAGTGCTCTTGCTCTTTGATTTAAACCCACCTGTCAATAAGTAAAAAGGCCCATCTTCAGAATTGAGGCAAATTATGATTATTTTAAAACCATTTTTATTTTCTTCGTCCTAGTCTGCAGAGGAAATTCATGTCATCTGTGTTAGAAATTCAAAACTCCTTGTGGTGCTTCTGATAGCTACCATTTTCCTCTCCTTTTTTTTCTGTGTGACGCATTTATATTTTCACTCCGTACATAGTCAGTAAATTTAAGATGCCTCAGTACCATTTCTCTCCATATAAATCTTGCAATAGTTTAATATTTTCCCAGCAGCTTGGATAGCTCCTCCTTTGTGCATGCCGTATTTTCTGTTTGTGCCTGGCTGCTACAGAAATATGTGTTTGCTGGTACACTACAGAAAAACTTTCCGGAGCTGCAAAATATTGCTGGAGTGCTATTGATCTCATTGGATCAATAATAATGCCCCTTGCTATGTAATGGCAATTATACAGTAAATTTGAGACCTACTTACAGAGCAATCCCAAACTCAGCCAAAGGCTAGCTAAGAGAAGTTAGGATAGGGTGGAAGAGCAGGGCAACAAGTCTATCCTGGAGACTCCTGGTGGTAGTTGTTGGCTTCAGTCTGTCTTGAGAGACAGTTCACCTCCAGGTGTGAAGTCAAACCATTGTGTTAGCAGGACCGAAGTGACCTTTCTGGGGTGCAAGCCTGGGCAGTGTGTATGGAGGTCCTAGGCTGCCCAGATGACAAGACCCTGCTCTCAGTCTCGCTGATGTGGTCCTGAAGGAAGCAGAGCAGTACGGTTGGCACCAACTTGGCTGCAGGAGTTGCTGGAATCATATTAGGGACTCCACTCTGGATTTGTGTAAGGTTTACTCCCTAGCCTTTTCTTCTCCCCAAGATATCCCGCAAGGCAGTGGAGGTTTAGGATCAGAGTTTTCCTTCTCCTAGATGGGCTACCATCTCAGGTTTACGAGTCCCATTGGCCCCTCGTTTCCCTCGACAGCACATGCAGAGACTGCCATCTTGACTGTTGGACCCACTATTGGCCTTGTCCACTCAATTCCCACAGGCTGTCTTTGCATGCAGGGGAAGTCCATACCCATGGTACACCCATGGAAAGCTCCATGTGCATAGGTTTACTGCCAGTGGTTTTCCAACTGGCTTACCCCAAAAGGTAACATGCTGGAACATGCTGAGGGTGGTCTTGAATAAAGTCCAGTTGTTTCCCCGGCAAACCCATGGATCAGGATCCTGGGCAAACCCATGGATCAGGATCCTTATATTTTATTAAGCTGGTTTGTATTGTTCATTGCAACTTAATATTATTTTTGAATTGATAGGGTTTTTCATTTGATGTATTCTACCACCCTCCCAAGACAAAGGTAACTATTATCTAAATATTACATTGAACTTGATGAAAGACATCAGCTCATGCCATAAACAGTGGGCAGGGAAGTGATTGTTTTTCCTTTCTCATATCCCCAGTTGTTAGTCTAGGGCTCTGGCTTCCAGTATCAGCATTTCCCTATTTCAATGAGAAAAATCATTCCCAGCTTGGAAAATCCATCTAGCTATTGAGTTGAAATTCAAATGTCACCTTTAATGCATTCAAGAGATGAAGCTGTGATCAACAATCTACAGTTTTCATAGCAAACCTATGAACTCTGGAGTCCTGCTTGCTGGGACTGCTCCAGGGGCTACAGTTGAATGGGACTAGAGATGGGGAAGAAGTTTGATTCAGTTCACCATAAAACCTGAATCTAACAAATTGGCGCCTTCAAAAACAGTCTGGGGACCAAAACACAGCCATCCCTGGAAATTTTCATTTAGCTGAATTTTGCAATACAGTTCTCCAGCCAAGAAATCTTTACAAAATGTACATATGATGAGAAAGTGTACAAAATTGTGTTTATTGGGAGAAATCCGCTCTAATATTCTGCTTTTTAACAACAACAACATGCTGCAGAAATGTTGCAAACTGAATTTAAGACTGGAAAAATGAAAATCTCAGAGAAACAAAACTGACAGATTATTCCTTCCTTAGATGTGTTGGATGCAAAAGGATGCAGCTTCAATCTCTGCTGAAAAAGCTGAAAAGGACCTACTAGGCAGTGACTGCCTGAGATTTGGAAGAGCTGTAAGCAGTCAGAGTAAACGATACTGGATTAGGCAAATATGTCGATGG